GGAGATCAGCAGGGACCAACACCAGCCCTCAGGTTGCCTCCAAAGCTAAACCCTGGGATGGCATGGGTGAGGCTGCAGAGAGAGAGATGCAGCACCCAAAGATGGGGATGCGCACAAATATTTCGGCTGCTAAGAAGTAAATGCTCGTTAGCAAGCTAATTCTTAAAATTGTCAGTTGTTGGCTAGATTTTTGTGCTGCTGAGGGTTGCTGCTGGTGTTCCTGTGCCTTTGGCCTCACGTGGGCACAGGGAGCAGCGTGGCAGAGGAGGACGGGACAAACAGCTCCTTGTGGGGACAAGGGCACGTCCGCCTCCAGGCACCCCACCTGGCGCTGGTTAAACCAGTGCTTAAAGCTCTCCCAGAGAGACGTCCCTTCTTGTACTGCTTAGAGAAGTTGTACACATCAAAATCGTGTTTCGTTATGATGCCAGAACACCAAAGCGAGATGTCAGAAATTACACAGAGGATGGCACGAACTACCCCGACACCACAGAGGAATTCAGAAGTTTCCAGAATTAAAAATTGTTTCAGAAGACGTTGCCAGTCGTCATTCTGGTCGTGTTTCTGTTATTTTCAGAAAAGCGTGTAAAGACGGGAGTGGTTCCCACTGCTCGTACTCCGGCAGGCAGATGTGTGCACCCCCAGACCCTCAGGGCACAGCACAGGGCCCTGGTGGGCTCCCTGTACGTCCCCTGGGACCGGCACAGGACATGCTCGTGTAGGGTTATAATTTGAAGAATTTACTAAGCCTGAAGCAGATTTTGCTGTAGGCTTTTGCCCAAGCCTAGGGCCAGGGAGGGCTGGGGCACAGCGGGGTGTCCCCCTGCGAGGGGTCCCAGCCCTCGCGCAGGGACGAGATGGCCACCCCGTACCTACTTGCCTCTCAATTCTGCAGCCATGGATGGGACGTATGTCGGGTGGGATGCCATGAACAACTGCACCGATCAGCAGTACTGGGACATCCTCGTCTGCCAGTGCATCCCCTGCAGCCTTGTATGCGGCCAGCCCACAGTGAGGAGGTGTGCTGCCCTGTGCGGTGAGTGCCGGGCGGCCGGTCACGGGCACCGTGGGGCTGTCACCTGTGGGGGCTGTCCTTGGATCGATGGGGCAAAGCTGGGAGGTGGGGGTCAGGCCCTGGGATGAAGCAAAGGGCAGGCTCCAAGCCAGCTCAGCTTAACCGAGATTTGAGCCAAACCCACTGAGGAACGTGACAGCTTCCCAGGGATGGGCTGGGTCTGGGAACAGCTCAGCACAGAGCAGGATCAGGTCGCCCACGTCTCTGTACTGCTCCTTTCTGGGGTCACAGGGAGCCCTCCCAGAGCCGCATCACCACTCATATCTCCCACCGGTGACGCCCCACTCTCCAAAGGCAGGGCCTTGAGATACATCAGGTTCAGCTGATGCGGATCACGATAGACTCGAGCTGTAGGTTTGCAAAGCTGTACTGCGGGCCCTGTGCTGGGGCAGGCACCGAGGTGTAGTGATAAAGGTGGGAAGGAGGAAAACAGACACCCAAACCCTGCACACAACCCCGTGCATGCCCCCTTCCCTCCCCGGTGAGCCGCGGTTTAGGGGTGCTGCACCCTGCCCTAGGGCACAGGGGACCCAGCCCCGTGCCACGGCTGCAGGCAGCGACAAGTCACGTCTCCCCGTTGAGGACAGGAGATGCCACCCTCGGGGTCCCGAGCCAGCATTCAAGCAGGTTTTAGCGTGTCCTAAAAAGCTGTGCAAGCCCCAGGGCAGCAGCAGCTCCGAGAGCAACAACCAGGAGCTCCCTGCTGCGGGTGGGTACAGCTGCACACATCTGGCTGTGCACCAGCTCCTCCCCGCACAGCTGCCAGCGGTTGCCTTTCCCCAGCGTTCATCATACGGCCAAACACCATGGCAAATCCCGTGGATCTGTCACCCTGCCAGCCCTGGAGAGGTTTGTCAACCCTTAGGGCAGCCCTGCGCCCGTTAGAGTCGGGAGCTTGTTGAGAGCGGCTGCGGGCTCGTCCTCGCATGAACCCAGGCGCTGGGAGTGGTGGGAGGGCAGTGGTTTGGGAGCTTTGTACTTAAACGACAGAGGAAGAGGACGGCCCTCAGGACACCGCGTGTCTCCCTCTCCTCCCGCAGAGTCCATGGACTGCAACAGGAGAGCCGGCTTCTACTATGACGAGCTCCTGAAAAAATGCATCAACTGCACCACGGTCTGCGGGCAGCACCCGAAGCAATGCGTCCCCTCCTGCGAAAGTAAGGCTGGGCGTGAGGGCAGGGGTGAGGGCAGGGCTGAGGGCAGGGACCCCCCCAGGGCTGGGCTGGAAGAGGAGCCAGGTTACGGGGCTGAAGCTGGGAAGGGGCAGCAAACCCCCCTCTTCGCTTCGTCCTGGGGTGTTGTGCGTTTGTGTGCTGCCGTTTCCCTGGGCCTGGGGAAAAGCAAGCCAGGGCATCTGTCTCTCCCGTTTTCTCCATCATACAGTGCGCTTTCCCTTTTGCAGGTCGGTGTTTTACAGACCCGTCCTTCAGCTCTCCCAGCCAAGGGCAGGATCCGCAGTCGCGTTTCCCACCTGGCTGAGCTGACTCCAGCCCTCGGGGAGGGGGAGTGGGACGGGATGGGTTATTCTCCCTGAGATTTGCAAGTCCCGCATTGGGGTTGAGACGTGATCGCTAGAGAAGGGAGTAGGGTGGGAATGGGGTGTGGGAAGGGATCTCCTACCTCGCCATGGAAGAGAAACGCAAGCAGAGAGGCGGCGCACAGCTGCTTTCAAATTCTTTCCAAGCAGAGAGCAGGAGTGCTATTAGCACTTTCCCTATTGAAAAGCCGATCGCGTGAAGCACGTACAGAGGGGTTTCTAAGCACACCCATCTCTGCCTGCCCCACAGCGGGTGCCCTGGTGGCCACCCCCCCGCCGCCAGCCGCCCTGG